GTTGCAATCAGCAAAATCATGATGTGATATGAATTAAGTTCAGCAGTATCCTGTTGTGAGCAGTTGCTGTACCATGCAAAACCCCGTTGAGAGTTACTTGTACAAAGAAAAACACTGTCTAGAAACGATTTTTTTTCTGGTCGCTTCCTTTCCGACTGATTAAGACAACTTAAGACAACAAAATTTAAATAGCCTTCCTGACATCTCTCATTTTGTGTCATTATAAGAATCATAAACATTCCTAAATCTGATCTACTGCCAAAATTTTTATTCTTCTTGAGCCTTGTTGAATCGGCCCTCATACACATCCCTAACATAAATTTTCGTGACGTGACCTGACATTGGCTGTCTCATTATTTCACTTACTACTTGACTATCCTTACCTTAACCATCACCGACATAGTAATCAATAGTTCTTTACGAGGTGCCTCGGTGTGGTTCACATGGTATGCCTTTCCCATGTACTAATGTGTACTGCCCTGACCTTTCACATCTACCTTTCACAATATTCCTGCTCACTTGTGAAATGATAATGGTCCAAGAGGGACAGAAACATCAGCGGCATTAGTCACATTTATTTGTTCATACACTACAAACTAGATGATTTTTTTTTTTAGGTTTTGTAAAGTCAGGACGAATCTCTTACATTATTTTGTAAATTTTAGCTTACTTTGTCATCACAGTATGCCACCGGCGTCCCGTTTTACACTTTCTGGCCTTGAAGTTCTGTCTACACTTATATCTATCTCTGGATTACTGTCTACACTTGCTTCTGTCCCTGACTACTCGTCTACACCTGCTTATGTCCCTGATAACCTGCCTACAACTGTTTCAGTCCCTGGTGACGAGTTTCAGATTGCTGTCTATTCTTGGCTGCATGACTGCTGTAAACCCACTGTCACTGGTGACCTCTGCACTCGTTTTTATAAATGACGATATAGCTACACATGCTGCTTCTCCTCAGCTGTGATTTAGCGGTGATCTAGTATGGGCCGAAACGTCATCGTCAAAGTGTGGGACTTTGGCGAATTGATTTAGCCACGGTTTTGTGAGTTTATATTCTTTAATGCCTTCTGTCTTTCCTGGGACGTCTGAAGCTGTCGTCTGTCACTGGCGACCTGTCTACATTTGTTCCTGTCCTTGGCGACACGTTTGAACCTAATGTCCCTGTCTGGCGACACGTTGACAACTGGGAACCAGTGGCATACTAAAAGTGACATACTAGGAATGTTATACTAGGGGTGAAAGCATGCAGTACATTAGAGAGAGGACGCTGAGCCTTGAAATTAGCTGGGCTAGGATGGCACCTCCTTCCCTGTACATTTACCAGTGTATGGTCAAAGATCCTCTTCAGCTGATTCTATGACTAAGGCCAAAATATACAGATCTCTTTGACCTGTTAAATTTTCTGTCGAGGTGGAGATCATTTTTTATCGACCAATGTTTATAATAATTATATCCATTCATCTACGTACAAAATACAAATTCAGTGATGAATACAGAGTAGTCAATGTTAGTGTCTTAATTTCTCACCATTACCATGTTGACGTGAGTGGCATGAAGTGCTAGGAGAAGATTCTTTGAGGTCTGATTTTCTGTCAAGTGCAAAGTGGTTTCGATATGAAGCTTGTCTTCGATGCACACTCCCAGCGTTGTTTCCACTTTCTTTTTTTAAACTGTGCCCTGTTTTCTTCTGTCCTCCGTGTCGTGCCTCCGTGTCTGTCCTTCGTGTCGTGCCCTCCGTGTCCTGTCCTTCGCGTCGTGCCCTTCGTGTCCTGTCCTTCGTGTCGTGCCCTCCGTGTCCTGTCTTTCGTGTCGTGCCCTCCGTGTTCTGTCTTTCGTGTCGTGCCCTCCATGTCCTGTCTTTCGTGTCGTGCCCTCCGTGTCCTGTCCTCCGTGTCGTGCCCTCCGTGTCCTGTCCTTCGTGTGCTGTTCTGCATGGCCATCCCTGCTCTACCCTCCCTGTTTTCATGGATCAACCATAGCACCGTGTTTGTCGTGCCCAAGATTAATATTCATCACGTGGTTGATTAATTTATTAAATTTAAAGACTATCAACTACACGATAGTCAATAGTCTTCAAATTTAATAAGATTTAAAGACTCTCAGAGATGCTTTAATATTTCAATTTGAGCAATAAAGTAAATTTAAAGTATATATTTATTAGTTTTATACGATTCTGTTTATATAAACACGACTCCTCTCAGTGCGTACACGTCAAGAGATATACTCGTCAGAACATGTACAAATCAGTTCTGCTTCACGGTTGTTGATTTTTCTTTGCAGTATATAACGCTCGCTAAGCTCTGTAGATGTTTACCTTTCATATTATAGCAGTACATCTGGTGATATTTCGAGGTTATTATCGTATTACATGAATGAAGCGAACTAAGTAGTGTCACTGAAGCATCTTTACGTAGCTTTAAAAAAAGGATAGAATAATTAATTAGCAGGACTAATTGGGTGTGAATAGGACCTGTCTAGCATGAGCCAGAAGACCTATTTTAGTACCTTTCTCTTTTATGTTAACATTGCACGAAAGACCCACGTTCAGGCACGGTGTAATTTCTAAACATGCAGAACTTATGCTGAATTGTCCTCATGTGGCCTCTTTTCTGCCGATAATAAAAATTCTTTACAGTTTTATGTTTACGTTCATACGTTAGGTCAAGGAACAAATGAGAGGGAAGATGTAGAGCGTAAACACAAAGACGAGTGGGGAGGTAAAATAAGGTCATTGTAAATTAATCTTAGAAGTAGTTGTGTGTGTGTGGTTGTGTGTAGATTGTGTGTTGTATGTGAATGTGTGGTCGTGGTCTTCACCACTACAGCACTCAAGTTGTATACGTCAGTCTAAATCATTGATCTGCCTTTTGTTACTCACATTCTGAACAACGATTATAACGAAGATCCGAAGGTTCAACTCGTCCGATACGACCTATTTGTCGATTTAGGTTTATATACATCTGTCAGAAGATCCTCACTTCTCTACTCACTTGTCGTCTCTACATCTTTCTCTTCTACAACAAGACAAATAATAAATAGATATATTGGGTTAATAGACTTTAATATACTAATAATGGATATAAAAGTCTTCAGGATGAATTATTGGGTTACATTGCCATGAAGCCATTTGATATTCCACTTCCTAACTCCACTTTCAAACTTATTTTTTTCTACCAATTGGCAATTTTCTTCATAATATGACAAGAATTAAGGTTACATTGTTTGTTAAAGGTAGTCATAGCGATAAATGGGTAGTGTAGAGCGTCAACAAACGATTGAGGAAGGAAAATCATTTCCATTCCTCAGAGTGGGGGGCGTGGCCCAATGCATGTCTGCTTACCCTTTTTGACGCCGCTGTGTTCCGCTGAACAGTAAAACTGCCCTAGTTCCTAGTTACCTGTAGTCTTCTTCCCAGTCCTTTAAGTAATAGATTCACGTTTCCATGACAAGGTCCTGAGCCTATGGAACAAACATATAAGAATATTATTATATTTATATATATATAATCTATATATAAACTACATTATCTATCCATCTCTTTATACAACATATCAATATATATATATATATATATATATATATATTATATATATATATATATATATATATTAATATATATATATATATATAACATGTATTTATAAAAGTTTTCTTCCAGTTGGCTGTCAGTGTTGATTTATCTTCTTTCTTATTCATCTCCTCTATCTCTCTTCTACAGGTAAGTGGACATTATGGAAGAATGAACGTGGATGATGTCAGTCCTAGGCAGGTGAGTGAATGTATTCTTTGCACCGTACATCCAAAAATCATTAAATTATTCTCATCATTAGTCAATTTTGGGGGAATAAATTAGACTTCCTTGATGATAATGAGTTTATTAGAGAAAGGCAAGCTTCAGTTTCTTAAGTTAAACAAGCCTAAATTACAGCTAACTCTCATGATTCATTTTATATTTATTAATTTTTCTTCAAAATTTAATATAGGATGAGCAGTTTTATATATGGGAGTAGACTCACATAAAGAGTATAAGTTCTATATGTTAGGACGTTTTACATAGGGTGGGCAGTTCCACACAGGATGGAGAGCTCAGCATAGACTTGGCAATTCCATATAGGCTGGGCAATTTCGCATAAGTTGGGCAGTTTACCATAGGCAGTGCAACTTTACATAGGCAGGCAGTTTCAGGTAGGCTACACTGTTCCATATAGATTGGCAGTTCCATATCAGCTTGGCACTTTGACATTTGGGAATTTTCACATAGGCTGAGCAGCTTCACATAGGCTGGTTGAATCTGCATAGGCTGAATGGTTCTACATAGGCTGGGCAGCTTCAAAAAAAAAAAAAAAGCTTGGCGGTTCTACATAACCTGGACAGCTTTAAATAGGCTGGACAGCTTCACATAGGCTAGACAGCTTCACATAGGCTAGATAGCTTCACATAGGCTAGACAGCTTCACATAGGCTAGACAGCTTCACATAGGCTGGACAGCTTCACATAGGCTGAATGCTTCCACTAAAACCTATAGACACACAAAAAAAAGAAGAAACAATGACTGAACATATTTAAATGCCTTACATTATATAACATTGTGTTATATATTACATAACATTATATGACTATTACATCATACTTTATTACAATGTACATTATAAAATAACATTACATAGCTTATTTCATTGCTCTGTATTTAAATTATATTTCACTAGTGTAAAATATTATATCACAGTTGTATAACATGCCATTAACTTTAAAAAGTTTCATTTATATAAAAAAATAAATTTATTATTATATATGGGTTAGAAATATTAGTGTAATGGTCATATATAATATATATTATATATATATATATATATATATATATATATATATATATATATATATATTATATATATATATATATATATATATATATATATATATATATATATATATATATATTTATTATGATTCTTATTATTAGTAGTCGTAGTAGTAGTAGCAGCAGCAGCAGTAGTAGTAGTAGAAGCAGTAGTAGTAGTTGTAGTAGAAGCAGTAGTAGTAGTAGTAACTGTAATAGTAGAAGCAGCAGTAGTAGTAGTAGTAGTAATAATAATAATGATATTAGTAGTAGTAGTAGTAGTAGTAGTAGTAGAAGTAGTAGTAATAGTAGTAGCGGTAGTAGTAGCAGCAGCAGCAGCAGTAGTAGTAGAAGCAGCAGCAGAGTAGTAGTAGTAGTAGTAGTAGTAGTAGTAGTAGTAGTAGTAGTAACAGTAGTAGCTGTAGTAGTAGTTGTAACTAAACAAAGTGCAGCTATTTAAAATATCCTTTATTCACAAGTCAAAGAAGATGAATGATCTCTGATGACTTAGAAACAGATGGCGGGTCAATCTTGGAATGTGGTGGTCACAGTATTTTTCACAGCTGGGCATACATGGAGAGGTCTGCCCACACAGCTGTGAGCCTAAACACAATGCAAAGCTAAACCTTACTTATCTTTTGTTGTGGACGAAATTCACCAACGTCGTGGTGTGTCTCTTTATGTCACAGCTGCTCCTTGAAGGAATGAAACATGCAGAGTAGAGCAAGTTTAGATTTGCGTAAGAACAGAGAAAAATATAGAGATAAAATCATGTATGACAGTGGTTAGAGATGAAAGAAGTGAGAAATGGATAAATAGTCGCGTTGCAGAAGTCGAGGATGATGGAATATATGAGAATGATGTAGAGAGAAACTCTGAAAGTAAAGAGAAAGGAAAAAGTGAGAGAATTGATCAGGGTTGATTTACAGAATGGCCATCAGGAAAGGCAGTTGCACCATCAATATTTAGCAAACGTAAACAAGCAATGAACTCCGGATGATAACGCCATAAACGACTACTGAATAACTGGGAACTTTGAGTAAGACTCAAGTGTGAGGGAAAACACTGGCGTCAGAGAAGACGCAGGTGGCAAAGAAGACACAGATGTCAAAGAAGACACAGGTGTCAGAGGGGACACAGATGTCAGAGAAACACAGGTGTCAGAGAAGGCATAGGTAGCAGAGATGACACATGTGTCAAACATGACATAGTTGGTAATCTGTTTTGCAAAAAGGCTGTGTAATGGGATACTGAGAAAGCTTATCCCTTTATTTTAAGTTTAACAACAGATACCATCTGTGATCAATGCCAGGAGAACTAATATTGTGAGGTACATTTCTCATTAAATACGAAAGTTTTTGTGAACGAGAACCACGGAAGAGCAAAGAACTGGTCTAGTATAAACTAGTAGGCTTACTACTGGTTCTGGATCAATTACTGGGTTAGGTGTATTAACGAGGCAAATAAGTCTTCTATGAATGACAAAAAAAGCTCAGTAAAGGTAATTATTTTTCATATGAAAGCACTAATGAAAAGTAGGTCTCAAAACCGCTTGAAAAAAAATAGATAATAGAGAATGCTTAAGTTCCTCGGATCAAAGCTACTTCACCAGAATCAATTTGACCCACCCTTAAAGGAGGTAGAGGAGAAGCTTTAACAGATGCTAGAGATGAACAAATGAAATATATAAAAAAAGTGTTTTATGCACTGACAAAGAAAAGCGTCCGTAGTGGGAGAGGAACCATTAATCACTGTCTTTATTCACAACAGCTGTCACTCTACGCGTAAAATTTTCATATATTTCTGAGGAGATACTCATTCAATTTGCAAATATATGTGGTGTGTATAATAATGTTTTCTGTTTGACAAGAATATATTGGTGTGTTTTATAGTATATAGATTACATAAGGGTCATTAAGGCTGCATTACACCTGTGCACCTCCAGTACAGTTTGCTATAATTCCCAAGAAAATCATTAGAGAATTAGTAGCAGTATGGCTGAATTTATAATTTAAATAATCAAATATGAACAATTATAAAACTGGGAAGTGAGAAATGGACAATAATATATATATATATATATATATATATATATATATATATATATATATATATATATATATATATATATATATATATTATGTATATATATATATATATATATATATATATATATTATATATATATATATATATATATATATATATATATATATATATATATATATATATATATATATGTACATATGTATATATATATATATATATATATATATATATATATATATATATATATATATATATATATGTGTGTGTGGTGTGTGTGTGTGTGTGTGTGTCGTGTGTGTGTGTGTGTGTGTGTGTGTGTGTGTGTGTGTGTGTGTGTGTGTGTGTGTGTGTGTGTGTGTGTGTGTGTGTGTGTGTTGTAGTGTATGTGTCTAGAGATGACAGAAGTGTAGAAGAGATTCTGGGAGGTGTTTTATAATTTTAATCAAAGAAAAAATTATTTTGGGAGAGTTTCATAGCAAGTGGGAGACACAGCTGTAAGAGAAATATTAGTAAAGTCTGAGTGTCAGGTGTAAATTACAGTGGTGCCTTTTAATTGAGCTGTACGTACAGAGATATTTGATAATAAGAAAAAACATGTTTCAAAAGTAAAAGGAGTATAAGTATAGGAGTAATGATGAAGTGCACAATGAAAACAGTCTGATAGATTATGCAATAGACGAAAGTTTCCAGGTGGGATTTCAAATATACCTTTTTTTTCATAGAAAAGCAGCTTTCATTTCTGGACATTATTTATGGATAACTATAGCAAGAGTAAGAGGAAGGTGACGTACATTAAAAAATAACATAACTGCCTAAATGAGAAATGACAGTGAATGAAAGATGAGAATATGTATTGATAGTTGAAAATAAGGAGAAAATAAGATTAGACATTACAAGATAATGAGGATGTCGATGAGACATGGAAGATGAGCGCTGAGAGGGAAGATTAAAACAATTTAACTAAAAATAAGGGAAGGTGGAGTATGTGGAAAGAAAATGAGAAGTTAAAAAAGGTGAATGGAATGCTTTTTTTTTTATTATTATTAATAAAGTTTCAATTCTTAGTCAGTTTTCCTTGAATAAGATTAGAAAAACTAGAGAAGAAATGGATTTGTCAGTTAAAAATGAAAGTGGTTAAGAGAAGTTGAGTAAAAAGGTAGAGATATTAGAGAGAGATGCTGGGTAAGTAAGTTGAGGTGTTGGATGCTGGGTAAGAAGATAGAAGTGTTAGAGAGATGGTGGGTACGAAGGTTGGGGTGTCAGAGAGATGCTAAATAAGGAGATAGAAGTGCTAGATGCTGGGAAAGAAGACTAGGATGTTAGAGAAATGCTGGGTAAGAAGGCTGGGGTGTTAGAGAGATGCTGGGTAAAGAGGTTGAAGTGTTATATGCTGGATATGGCGGGAGAGGTGCTAGAAAGATGTTGGATAACAAAACAGAAGTGTTAGATACTGGGTAAAAAGGTTGAGGTGTTAGATGCTGGATAAGGAGTTTCGGGTGTTAGAGAGATGGAGAGAATGTTGTGACCGTGATGAATGCATATAATGAAATAATAATAGAAAGTTTATATACGACGTAGATAAGGACGGGACTTGTTAGAAGGAGAGGAAGATCATGAAGTGAGTATGGAGAAAGTGGATGAGGCAGTAAATGGATTGAAAGAGTGTAATACAGCGGGGATGGATAAGAGTAATGCAGAAATGCTTAAAAGCAGTTGCGAATAAAGTGGGATAAGAGCATTGTAGGTAAACTAGTGTACGAAAGACGATAATTAATCATAGGAGAACTGAAGAAATGAAAATATCAGGAGTTTTGAGGAATTTGTAGGGAGATTGATGTTCATAAGTGCATGTAAAAAATATTCATGCAAACAGTGGGATGCTAGTGCTTTTATATGAGTATGATGCTAGATCTTTGAGTGTTGTAGCAAGAGGGAGGAAGAGTTGGGGAAGGAGAAGGCGGCCGGAGGCTGCAGGCAGAGAAATATTGTTTCTGAGAAAGGTGTAAGGTTTGACTACTATGCATTCATGAGTAAAGAACTGGATGCAAAGGCATACAAGTCGACAGTAATGAAGGAACACAGGTGGAACACAAGCTATTACTGTAAAATATTTCGCTCTGTGTGAAGCTTTATCAAGTCAATAATTGACGTGATATACTTCTGCAAAGAACGTAACATTGCCAGCATCTGGCATTAGAATACGCTGTTAAGACTGGAAGACAGGCTGCTAAGATGGTAGGATCATTTTGAAAATGGAATAAAGTACGGACAAGTTGATGAGTAAGATACATGTACAGCAGTTGGGTATCTTTATTTATGACTGGTTCCGCTTTCACAATAGGCTTTGTCAGTCGAATACAGAGGAGACAGCAGGGGCAGTAGAGATAAGAAGACGATGTAATCAGTCCAACTGGGTGATGGATGGATTTTTAGGGTGACCTAGTAGCGACTAGTGAAGAGACGGGGCCAGGAGCAGTGATTCGACCCCTGCAACCACAAATAAGTGAGTATATACACACATGCACACACACACACACACACACACACACACACACACACACACACACACACACACACACACACACACACACACTCACACATACCACACACACACACACACACACACACACACACACACACACACACACACACACACACACACACACACACACACACACACACACACACACACACACACACACAAATCAATACTACCGATCAGTGTAGTTCATGATTCCGGGTCAGGAGCTGAGCTCACTTAAGACATTCTTTGTATCATACTCTCGCATTTAATGTGGCTTTTCAATTTTATTCATTGCTTCTTACACAGCAACACAAACAATTTATATTGTTTACTCTCCAGTAATTTTTTAACCTTGTTCATTAGTGACTCCAGCTCGTGACTTGTTCAAGCCGATATCTCTTATCTTCACCAACTTCAAGCAACATCGACCCTATGCAACTCCTGCCTAAAGGCTGAATTAGCGCGTAACCCTTTCAAAGTAATGTCATTTCGTTATAACCTGTTTCATGACACGTTAACGTGAATTTTTTTTTTTTTTTTTACAAACAAGTCCCAAAAACATTTATTTCAAAGTTTCGAAATTACAAATTTCTCGTTATATATTCCATGGGCTGCTTCTCATTTGCATCACCGTCATCCCTGTCAATCATGCAACCGTCCAATTCACTCAGTTATCTACAAATTAATCAAGAGTTATACTCAACTATTGCCTGGTCATTCAATGCTCAAGAAACTGACACTCGATCAGGAACCAGGGTAAATAAGTAAATAAAGAGTAGCTAAGGTTGACGTCCTGACAGCCACAACTGACGTCAAGACACACACAACAGAACCAACTTTTATTAGGACCAGAACTAGTTTTTTATTGGTACAACGTTTGGCTCTCTGTGGAGCCTCGTCGATTCATGACTCGATACACACATGACGTGATAAAGTCATGACTTGACAAAGATCTGCACACATAGCGAAACGTTGTCCACGAAAGAAGCTTCTTCTGTAAAGTATGTCTTCAGCAGAATGCTATTTAAACCTGTTAATTCGAAAAAAACTGTTGCCTAGGATTTCTTGAACGTATCTTACAAGTTCAGTTAGGGTACATCCTTACCTCTGTCTCAGT